GTCCTGCAACGAGTTTGTTGCGGCAATCATGCGGCGTGAATAAATAAGGGCAAGGTTTCCTACCTGCCCACAGATGCATGTACTGAGACCATTTTTTTATGTTGTGAACGTGGTGCTCTTTCTTTATTTTGGAAGACGCGTTGGTGCATTTATTATGGTACAATCACTTGAGAGTTGAGAAATTAGAGAGCGAGCAAGCTTTCTCAACTTTGTCTCTTTCTCTCTGGCACTGCCCTGTTTCAGTTTCAGTAGGCATATCTACTAGCAGGTACAAACTGCTCTAAAGCAGGTAAAAAACGGGAAGCTTAGGACGGTGCGGACTCCGTGTTTCGCGCTTTTCGCAAGGTGACAGGGTAAATGCTTTTGTGAGATATGCGGAATATGCAAGCGATTTTGTTATGCCCGTCGTTTGCGTCTCTCCAGCAAAACGAATAAGATGATCTACTGCAAAGGCGCAATCACAAGCCAAGATTTAAGATAGCAGTCGTTTGCTTCGGTGATCCGTGTAGCTGTATTTTACCCTGCTCTCTGCAACACCGTGTCATGACGAAGAGCTGGAATGGTCACGGTTTGTGCTGGCCTCCCGGTTGACAGAAACCCGCGTCGCCCGCATCGGCACCGAGTGCGCTTGGGCTGTTGATGCTCCAGCCTTTCATCCGCGGCTTGTCGCCAGCTGATCCTGCTGCTCAACGGTGAGGAAGCGGCGAGAGTAAGCTCGGAAGTGAATGTAAATCCTCGTTCATTCAGTTATCCGGTGTCAAAGTGTGGAAGATGTCCAACGTGTACTGAGGGCGGGAACTACGAGCGTTTTGCCTTGCTTTTATAACCGAAACCAGACCAATGAGATAACTGCCTTGCGTACTCTAAAATGACGGAAGCAATAAGTTTCAACAGGTCGAGTACGTCACCGGGGATGTAGGCGAGATGGTGCACACTGTTTAAACGCTTGCAGTATCCACGAGTGGTACCAGGAAAGCGACGTCAACAGAGAAGGAGCTCGCGATTCAGCATAATGCACTGCTACGGGCCCGTGTATCTTCAAAGTTCGGGGTGGTGGCAGTATAAAAAAAAGACGCATCAGCGCCCCACACCAGTGTTCACGAATAACACCGGTCACAAACTCCCAAGCCCCACCGCTCTTCTCGACACCGACACGACATACGACAACAAACTGCATCAAAACGCCCCAAAAGTGAAGGCGTCTGCTCCCGTACTTCAACTGCTGCAACTAGCGGAAGTGAAGTGTTGGGCGGATGTCCGGATGTCCTTCACAAAAATATATAAAAAATGCTTTGCGCAAGGATCATTTTCATTTATTATTGTATACGTAATGACAAAATCCCAATAATTTGTTTTTCTATCTGATTCATGCTAGTCGGACTGCTCATAACACTGGTCAAGCAAGAAAATAACAAAAATTTGAACTTTTTCATGACCGGTTTAAGATTTATTGTTAACATATCATTATTTATTGCAACGGACTAACATTATAGATTTTGCCTCCATACTTTTTAAATGCAAACAGTTCTAACACACGGCTGTCCATTGCGCCGTGTTTTGTGTATTCTTCTATAAATCTGTAATGGTCAGTGACCAAGGAGCTCACCCGCACATGCCAAGCCTATATGCGCCGCGGGGAGAAATGGATATCGAGTAGGAAGTGTCGGGCGTTGTGTCGGTTGTTTGCCGTGTAGCTGTGTGCTGTGTTGCCTGCGTTGTATGTAGGGTTGCTGTGTGGCCGTGGTCGTTCACAGTGTTAACAGAGTCGTCTTTTTTTTAAACAGGCTGCTAGAAATCTCGATAGGTGGCGCAAGTTACCGCCCGATTCTAAATAGTTTGCTCAAGTTATTTATCCATGTGAGTTCGGCATTCGTTATTTCTTTTTTTTTGTTTTGTCTAGCGGCTCGTTGAAGCTATTGATGCTATTGACGCCGCCGACCGCCGACAACACACGTACGTACCTTTGCAAGTAGCTACGTCCGCCGCTTGGAGTCTTTACTGTGTATAAAAGACATCGAACGAGAACTAACGCGCCCTGTGTGCTTTCAATTCGGCTGAAAGGCGCGCGGCTCGCTGGGCTCGTCTCTCGCCTGTTCTCGGCCGCTGGCCGCCATGTTTCATAAGGAACACGCTCGAAATGGTTTTGTGGAAGGCAGACACGGTGTAGCGTGTTAAGTTTACACAGCACCTCCTGTGTAGACGAAAAACACAGATGGCCTCGTGTAAAACGAACACGTTTCGACGTGTCCGCTATGGGACAACGGTTTACACGTCTGGGCGTGTTATTTTTGCTAACAGTGTAGATACAAGATGTTGATCATTGGTACCAGTGGCCATCACCGACTTGTTAAGCTTGGTCCGTTCCCGCTTCCGATTTTCAGTATCGACGTCGATCATCGCCGCTACCTTCTACACTTTTGCAGCACGAGCGACGTCGCGATCGAAAATAGCTAGCAGAATCTCATCATGCTTTTGGCGTCCATTCTGCGGCGTTCATGCAAATAAATCGCCGCACTTCAAATTATTTACGCAAAGTTTAGGGGCGTAATGAGCCTTGATAATTTCGCTCAAGTGATTAAAGTGGTATAAGACATTGCCATGAGGACGTATAATCGACCATTTCAACGCGAAAAAGAGTATGAAGAGTCACACAGATGCCGACAACGTGACATTCCAATGGTTTGTTGACGCGGTGCTTCTTGCCCGCACCACATTGCGCATGCGTTAGAACTGTCGTCTGCTCTCTCAAACTTGTCTGCTTTTTGTCGTCAGCTCGTCCAAACGACAGCGGCCCGTAAACCAAACGTTGAACCGGTAATTGCGATAAGAAGTAAGTGCAGGCCTCAAAAGACTTTTGAAGATTGGTTGGGGTAAGTAGGCTAAATGTAAACAGTAGATACAAGATGTTGATCATTGTTACCAGTGGCCATCACCGACTTGTAATGCCCGACTCTACTTGCGGTTTTCAGTATCGACGTCCACCATCTCAGCTACGGTCCATGCTTTTGCAGCCCGAGCGACGTCGCGACTGAAAATAGCGAGCAGAATCTCATCGAGGGGGTCAGGCTTTAGCGCCCATTCTGCGGCATCCACGTGAAATGAATCGCCGCACGTACATTATTCACGCGAAGTTTTGCGGTGTAACGAGCCTCGGTAATTTCGCTGAAGCCGCTAAAGTAGACAGACATTGTTAGGAGGACGTAGAATAAACAATTTCAACGCGAAACAGAGCACGGGGACTCACACCGGCGCCGGCAACAACGCAATTCAGTTGTTTGTTTATAGGCGACGGCGAGCTTCTTGCCCACCGTCCACCGCGCATGCGCGGCGCCGGTGGCGTCCGCTAGGGGCCCTCCAGTTTGTTTGTAAACATGAGTTGGTGTATATGATTGCGAGCATGCAGTTGAGAGTTCGTGTTTAAAACTGAAATTGACAGGAGGTGCTCCTATTATTGAATATTGTGATATTTTCCCATTGGTGTACTCACACCTTACCACATATACACGAGTACTTTGCTGCGGGGAATGAGCGCCTTTCGTCTCCCACTTTTTATTGTTTGGCCTAAATAAATTGGCACAATGTTATTAGTCCGCCATTTGTAAATGTTTATGTTTATCCAATAGGCGCCTTCTTGAAGCGGGCTTTACAGAGCAAAAAGATAATAAATATTAAAATTTCCTTTCTTTGGAGCGCATCTTCTGGACAGAGTATCAGTGTCATACACTCCCAATACGATCTCATAACTGTGATAATATTTTTAGCGTTGCTTAGTGTCTCTGGAAGGATGGCCGCCCATTTTATAAATACGATAAAATGACTTTCACCCTATTCTGAGTCGAAGAGTTCGTTGGCCAAAGGTAAACAGACGGCTAATAGGGTATCATCCGGATGCTTTCTTTTAATTTTTATTTGTGTTTGATTTCATGATGGAAAATGAATGCACTGATTGAGGATGGGTTGCGGTTCCGAATTTTCCGAATGCGGTTCCGACGCAGATACAATGTCTGCGAATGCTGATCGGATGCGGATGATCAAGCTCTTATCCGCGCAGGGCTCTACTTATAACAAATCTGAAGAAAGAACTACTGCACATGTGGAGTACAGTAGTAATACTAAAAGAGAAACAACTTGATTTTTCTGATTAGCTAAAAAGCCTTATTTGCTTTTTTTCGCGTTCTGATTTGCTTGCAATAAGGCATTACCTTTCTTTTGTTTCTTTCTTTCACGTTTTAATTACCTTGCAATAAGACGTAATGTAAATCACGAACGAGAAGGAAGGTAGAAAGAAATCTCAATAATCTAATTTGCTCAAAAGAACGCAATGCTTTTTTCTTTTTTCTTTTTGTATTCAGCCTTTTATAACTATTTCTTGCTTAATTATTCTTTGATAGAAATACAAAACAAATGCATATAGAAAGCTTCAAATGATAGGCAAACGGTAAATAAGGAGCTCTTTCTTTGATTATTCTTACCGGAAAGGTATGATTTAGAGGGCCATAGAAAAACTGGTCTGATATAAATCATCATAGTAAACCTGTACTTACCTGAATCACAATATAAAAAAAATAATTAAAATCATGCTTTAACTCATCATGATTTTTATTCTGCACCCTGCTGCTCGCGCGTGCATGCTTTCGAAATGTTTTACGTGACTTCCACCAGTATCTGTCAACAACTTCTGGATAACCTGGACATATGTAATTGAAATCTCAATAATGTGGGGATGCCCTCTCAAGAGTGTAGATCGAACACGTCTATGATAACAACGCCTTGCTGCTTGGATTTCTTACGTCACCTAGTAGAGGCCAGCGCGCGTCGCGGATTAGATACGAATGAACCCCGTCAAACGTGGACGCAGCACTCGCGTCCAATCCGCGCCCCACGCTGGCCGCCGATAAATGACGTAGGAGGTCCAGCGGTACGGCCTTGTTATCGTGAAGGTGTTTCACCGGCGTGATCTTGAGAGGGCGGCACAGATCACTGTTGCAAAGCGATAACCGGGGCCTTTCCGCGTTTCCACTTCTGCAGATAAGGGCCAGCCGGATAAACGGTCTCTTGTTTTATCTGCCGTATTTTCGCTTGGCGCGTCACTGTACGTTGGTAGAAGTCGTGGGACGGTGTCCTCCGCTCAATCCGTCCGCGCGTGGCTGTCGTAGAAGAGGGACCCGAAGAGAAAACCAGAACGCGCACCGGAATGCCTTACCCAGAGCGCTTCCAGGACCAGCCGCCTTCGACGAGGGAGCCGGTAAGACGCCTAAAGACCTTGCCAAGTAACCCCCCACCTGTGAAGATGTAGACCAGGGGTTCTCAGCCATGGATGTGTCGGGGACCCCTTGCGGACCGCTGGCAGTGATTGGGGACCCCTTCCAGCCGGGGGGGGGAAGGGGGGGGGGGAGGGGGGGGGGAGGGGGGAGGAGGGGGGGACGTTAGTAAGTTAACACGTCTGGAGCATGAAACAGGTGCCTTTTATTGCTACGTAGCAGAAAAACAGAAAACAGGTGCCACATCACTTCATTCTGGTCAGTTCATCAATACGTGGCACACTCGCGCTTCAAACTACAAAAAACGTGCCAACTAAAAAAAAAAAAAATTTATTGAGGGTCTTGCGGACCCCAGAAGTGGCTTCGCGGACCCCCTGGGGTCCGCGGACCCCTATTTGGGAACCACTGATGTAGACGATACTTCCTGCATCGTTTATCTTTTACGTAATGTCTTTTGCAGAAACCCAGGGGATCCTAGATTCAATTCCCACCCTTGCCCGTTTCGATCTGGATGTGCGTCGTAGCGGCGTGCGGTCGTGTGTCACTACTGCCTGATGCACGTTAAAGGACCCAGGCTAGTAGTGGCACTGCAGTGGCCAATTTTCTCATTTACAACTGAGACACCAGAACCCCCTATTGGGGCTGACTAACTTCCAGCTCTCTAAACATACACACGCGACACAAATCAATGTCCTGATTTTCTGACGGGTATCTATAGTTGCTCTCCCCACAAACGTAAGCGTATTAGCTGCTGCTACATCATGCATGCTTAAGCCCTAATTTTTTTTAATCGATGCAGTGGCCTTGCCATTGAGGAGCGGGTGTCGTTATATCATCCTGATGCGAATCGGCAGTAAAATATTTTCGCCAGCTGCTCTTGCGATAAATACTTTGTTTCCTTTAAAAACTAACTTTCCAACAAGATGGTTTCGCAGTATACTTGCTAAAGTTTCTTCTGGTGTTCATTTGATGACCAATTTTGATCAATCTGACGTCAAGTAGCACCGAGAAAGAAATTTCCTTCGGATTTTTGGGCAACTCTATGTTTTCGGTGTTACTTTTCACATTACTTCGCTTAAGCTCGCAACATAAATATAGGCTGGTACGTGATCTTGTCTAGTTCAATCCCGGCGTTAGGCCAAGTGCAGTGCTTAAGTTAATTTTTCTCCTACCTTTCTATTTGAAGACGTTCTACGTGGATCGCGTTGTTCATGAATCTAACCCGGACTTCTGCTTATCTCAAATACTCTACTCAAGATACTGTATTTTAATACTTTTTGAAGTATCTTGGTATCTTGCAGATACTTTTGATCGAGAGTGTTTGATACTGTATTTTAATTACATTTCTGAGCATCTTGTACTCATTACCTTAAATACATTTTTGATATTTTGTCATTTTCCAAGTTTTTCGGTATGAAGTGGCGTCGGTGTGGCACGAGCAAACGTGAACATTGTTTCGAGCAACCATGTCCTGTGGAAAGCTCCAGTAAGCTACGGTGGCTTAGATTGAGCTTGTGATAAGATTGGTTTTATGCTGATTGTGACTCATATCTCACCCCAAATTCGTACAATGAGGGTTTTCCCCTCGCTTTCGCAAAGGCGCCCTTTGTCTCTCAGAGTATCTGGCAAAAAAATTATCAAACAAAAAGGGTGGTTTTATGGAAGCAAAGATTGCCACACAGAGGCACAACGCTGAACGCGAAACGACCCACGACAACAATGCAGACTTCAGTGTCAAGAAAATAACAAATAGTTTGCTTAGTGTATATTTTATTCTCCTACAGCAAAACGCCGAGGACTCTTTTTTTACTTTTCTTTTTGTCGTTAGTCCGGCGCTGATTGCTCCCGCGAGCACTATCTCTAAGCGAAAATTGATAAACAGAGCACAAGACAGGAAACTAACTACAGGCAGGATTGACCTCTTAAAATGCCAACAAAGTGTCCCCCAACGTTGAGTGCCTTTCTGAACGCAACCTACTTGAAGAAGGTGAAACCAGTGCTGTGGCTATTATGTGGGCTCTCTTTGCTGTCCATTCACACATTTCCGTATCTAAAATTTCTTTATAGTAAACTCCCCATATAGGGAATATGGATCGTACTTAAACGATGCGTCCAAGGTGCGTCGTAGGACGTGATATTAAAGGATGTCACTATAACTAAAATGACTTTTTTTTCAGAAATATTTCGTAACATCTATCCGTGATATCCTGCTCCTTATAGGTAAATATCAGTGATATCCAGCTCGTTGGAGATCTAAGTTGACTGCGCAACCCTCGCATGCGAAGAAAAAGAAACTAATTTTGCTAAGGAAACGAATCTGAAAACATTTTCACACAGCGCAACTTGCTTATATTATATCTGGCATTGGTTATAGGACTATAATGAACAACATACATGCCCTCTCAAAAAAAAAAAAGGTCGTCACGATTTTTGAAGTTTGGAGGTTGAAAACCTCACAATCGTTTTGATGAATGTGGCGAAGGAGTAGGTTTCCCTCCGGATGCGTTGTCAGGCATATGGATATATTTTTTGATAAGAAAAGTACACATAACATAACTTGAACGGCCGTAGAGAATACGGAATCCAGGGACCTTCACAGCGATCCCCTGCCTTGTTGACTCATTTTGATAAGGGCATGGGGGCGGTACCACTGATCAGGCTCAAAAGCAAGCAAAATTAAACGTTCGTATTTACACTGCGTGAGGTCGTTTTGCCTTTGAGGTATGGCGATTCTGATTTACGGTGTAGATGATTATGATACATTTAGACGACTGTTCTGACTGTCAATGAGAAGTAGCACTACTCGATAAAGCATCAACATTTCTGTGTGCAAACGCGTCGCTGGTAGCTCCTGGCCTCACAATGAATTTCCGGAGTAGGCGACGTAAATGTTCTTCTCTGGTGTAGTATTCCTACTTTATTACTCTGACTGAATAGTATATAGAACTTTATTGATTCCACCACCCAAGGGTTCGTGTGTTGTTCAGACATTTTGTGTAATTCACGATAAATGGAATCAAGGTACCAGCTATTCGTATCTATTATCAGGGAAAATCGATAAATGAGGCTTGATCAAGTGCATCAAGCAGATTTTGCAAGTTGTATCTTTCTTTTGATATGGTCAGAGAGTCAGATGGCCAACGTCACCATTACGGCGAAACGCGATAATTTATATCAATGGCCTTGATCATGTTTCAGTATAATGAAGCCACATATATATATATATTTATCTGCTATACACTTTGATGTCCAGAAAGAGAGCGAGGTTAATTAATTCATTGTCCCGGCGTAGCATGGGCGCACGCGAAAAAAAGAACTGTTGCGGTTTATTGCAGCTACCAGATAACTCCTCATCGCTGGTCGTAGGCAATGAACCGGAGCCTCGATGGGCTAGTCAATTTAGCGCAGTGGGAGTGGAGGTTTAATCAACAACAGTGACCAAAAATCAACCGCACCCAATGTCAGGGTCAAGGGAAAACAAATTTAATACGGCGAGCGCAATGCATGGGCCAATTTTGCCCACGTGCATTTGTAGTAAAATGGGTGAGGTTCAGCATAAAACCTGCCATGACGAGCACAGAAGGAGCCAGTGTTACTGAGATAAACCTCAGCAGCCTCACCAGAATATGTCCCTTTCGAAGTTAGGCCTCTTTTGTCGACCAGAAATTACTGCGGACTCATGAGTGTAAAATTTCTCATTGGTCTTACGTGTCTAATATTTATTTATTAAACACTTAAAAGCTAAGCAGTTCCTTGCTGTTCCGCACTATTGCTGTGATTTGAGGGCCTTTAGGAGAAGCGCCATGTATAGAAGGGTCTATATAGAAGTAAAGCAGCCTGGTAAAAAGAAGCCTAAGGTTATATACTCAACTTGAATCAATCAATCAATCAATCGAGTAACCATTCAATCAATTGGGCAATCAATACGTCGACCAACCCGTCAATCAGATAATGAAATCAATATTTTATCTGCATCTATAGAAATTCAGATGCCGAGAGGAAGACATAAAGTCAACAGTTGTTAGTCTGACATGGTCTGGTCTCCCGTCTTAGCAAGACAAGCTACAACAACAAAACAACAACAGGAAAAATACAATTACCATGTGCCTCAAACAAATACGATACAAGCAAAACAAAAATACATAAAACCGTTATTATTACAATCTTATGAAAGAATCTTTTGATTCTTATTCATGTATCTTCGCCTCCATAACATCTGTTCACCATTTTCACATTGATGTGTGCAGTGCTACTGAGGCGAAAGCGCAGTTCTGCGCGCAGAATGGTTTGCTTACTGCTCAGGCGAAGATTGTCACGAATGACAACGGATGAGGCGATGGTAACTGAAGAAGCTAAACGTTTAATGGGGCGAACTTGTGCCCAAACCAAAAGGAAACAGAAGAGCGTCGCGGGCGTCGATATCGGCGTAACAGCAGAGTCGAACGCTGGGGCGAGACTGACTCTTGCTCGCCGAGCGGAGCCCCTTTTGTACACGCGGGGCTTCTGGAACAATCGGCCTAGAATCTTCGGCTCGTAGAACATTCTGACCTAAAACAAGCAACACGATTCTCGAATTTACCTGGAGATTGCAATACCGTCAACAAAATTGCGTACCCGTGGCCAGGCATCGAACCCTGGCTTTTTGCGTGGAAAGCAAGCGCCATAACCGTTAGGCCACGAGCGCGTTGCCTACTTGGTCCGGTGCGCTCGCGGCAATATTAGACGCCCGCTCCTCCGACGGTACTGCGCAGTAGGGTTCTGGTGGAGTATGGTCGCGGAAACTAGAAAACAAAACTTATCTGCAAGAAAATTATATCCTGCATTGAAGTACAACGCCGTGCGAACGAGGGTAACAGCTGCGCTTGTGTCATTGACACAGGTGCAGGGTAGACGGACTTCGATTCAGCCGGAGCCTGCGGTCGTTGAACCAGGTCTGCGCTCTGAACTTTCCCTCCAAATTTGTTCCGGCGGTTTGTTCTTCAAA